CTGGCAGAATTCACTCAGGAAACCATCTGGAGTTGGTGTTTTCACCGGGGAAGATTTTTTGACAATTAATTCAAAGTCATTAATGGTTATGAAGCTTCTCTTAGTTGTCTGCTGCTGCTGTTATGTGCCATCGAGTCGCCTACGCCTCACAGCAATTCTCTGCACAACAGCTCTGAACCCTGCCCTGCCCTGAGCCAGTCTGTCTCTGACACACCTGACCCCATTATCCCAGTCACTGTGTCAACCTATCTCATCCAGGGTCTTCCTCTGCTGCGCTGTCCCTCCACCCTTCCAAGCATGCAGTCCTTCTCTAAGGACTGGTCCCTCCTAGCCACATGCCCAAAGTATGTGAGACGAAGCTTCAACATCCTTCTAAGGAAAAACTTGATTTCACTCTCTCCAGGACAAATCTATCTGTTCTCTTGACAAGTCCTTGGAACGTTCATCACTCTTCTCCAGCATCACAGCTCAAAGGAATGATTCATCTTCTGTCATCCTTAGTCACTGTCCAAAAGAAATACCACAGTGCACTGTCTGTCACCCAGTGTTGCTGTCACAGAGACACCACAGTGCACCGTCTCGGTCACCCAGTGCTGCTGTGACGAGCATTATCTCCCTCCCCAAGCACTGGTCCCTCCCGATAACCAACCCAAAGTATGTGGCGCTAGCTCACGTCATCCGTGTCTTTAAGGAGTGCCTACTTTGCTCTCCCTCTTAGAAGACAGGTTTGTTCTAGAGGGTGGTCCACGGTGCAATTCAAACTTCGTCGCCACCACAATCCTAAGGTGCCAAGTCCCCTTCATTCCTCCTTATTCATTGTCCAACTTTACAGGCATATGAAGCGACTCAAAATCCCATGGCCTGGGTCAGAGATTCAGGGCTCCAAGTGCCCCCCTTGCTTTTTTGCAGTGTGACGAGGTCCTCGGCAGCAGATGTACCCAGTTCAATGTCATTGATTTTGTCTCTTCTCCCATTGAAGAGGCTTCCATTGTGAATGACTGACTTCTCTGGCCCGTCAATCTCAGCTGTTTACCATGACGCTGTTTAGTGGTCCAGTCATAGTGGTTTTGTTTCCTTCAAGGGATGTGGAATCCACACTGAAGGCTGGATACACCCTTTGATCTTCTCCACAAGGGCTTCAGTTGCAGCAAGCTAGGCTGCATCCACAGCATACTGGAGACTGCGAGTGAGTCTTCTTCCAATCCTGATGCCGTGTTCTGGATCCAGGCCACCTCTCAGACTGTTTGCTCAGGATATGGAGAAAGGATACAACCCTGACACACACCTTTCCTGATTCTAACAGTGCAATGTCCCCTTGCTCTGTTCAAAAGACTGTTTCTTGTTCTATGGGCAGGTTACCTATGAGCACAACCAAGTGTTCAGAACCAGGGTCCTAAAAGGGTTTACAACACACATTTTTGAACACACAATTGTTCGCTGCCTAACAGCACTATCAAGGCTTTTATTGCCTTGAGTCAATTTCAGCAAATTGCCCTAGGAATCCATGCATTTTTTCTGGGTTTCCAAATTTGTTGGCATAAGATTTTTCATAGAATTCTCTTATTATTTTGGAATTTATGCTCTTTTTCTCCTGGATCAGCCTCCCCAGCGATTGGTCTATTTTAAGTCTATGCAAAGAGCTTGGAGCTGCACGGAGCCTCTCGATCCTAACCTATCACATTCTGCTCCTTCTCACAAGCCTCTCCCTCCCACGTCGTTTGCGTTTATCCTGCCACGCTCTTGCTTTTAAAAATGTTTTTAATGCCTTAATAAAATTATCTTCAAACCATCTTCTTTCATATCACACACACATTTAAAGCCACTGCTTTCTTTGCAGTATTCCATAGATTTTGCTACAAAGTAATTTTATTATTATTCGATGCTGTCATTTATGTATTCACCAGTGATTGCTTCCCTGTGCCAAAGTTATTTTAAAATATTTTTCATCTCTGAACATGGACCTGCTCACTTATTTTTTTCCCACTGCTTCAGGCTGCCCTGTACTCAGAGGGTACGTTCTCTGCATAGCTGACACCTGGCCACGGCTGTTTTGCCATCGAGTCGCTGTCAGTCTCTGTGTCCCACGGGATCCTGAGAAGGGCTTCTGTATTCTGTACAAATCTATTAGGCCAAGTGTTAGTTATATTCTTGAAATCTGCTAAGTCTTTACGAATTTCTTATTTGTCTCATTGTTGGAAAAGAGATGTTACAAACTTCCATTCTGAATTCCCTCTGTGCAAAACCACCAACTAACCACAGAAATGCAAGCCAGCCCAAGCTCATGACTGTCCAGCCAGCACTGACATTGCGGTGACTTCGCTCCCTAACATAAAGGCCCAGGAGTGCACGGCTTTGGCTTTTCAACCCGTTACTACCCTCCAGCCCGCTCCACACCCCGCAGACAAGGAGGGCCTCCTCCTGGGCATCTCGCTTCGCTGCTCTGGGCATGCAGAGGCATCTTCATGTGGTTTGAATTTGCACTTTCAGTTGACTTGTTTCAATTAACAGATGCAGCCTTGGATGTGCTCTCACCAGCCGATGCCAGGAAATCCTGAGGACAGCTGTCTGGCCAACGGATTGTAGTAGTAGATCCATATTTGCTGCCATTCCCAAGAAAACGTGTTCCAGCTGAACGTGGAAACCATGGAACAGTATTAATAGTATCACATTCAAGCAAAATTCCGCTGAAGATCACTCAAAAATGGCCAGAACAAAACCTAGGTAGGGAACCACCAGGAGTTCAAGCAGGGTTTAGAGAGGCTGTGGCACCAGAGATCACTGCAGATGTCAGATGGATCCTGGTTGAAAATAAAGAGTACCAGAGGAATGTCTATACTTTCTTTACTTTGCAAAGACATTTGGCCGTGTGGATCATGACAAGTTGTGGCTGACATGGTAAGAATGGGAATCCCAGAGCCTTTCATGGTTCTTCTATGAAACCTATACCTGAACCTGGAAGCTGCTGTGTGAACGGAGCAGGGGAACACTTCCTGGCTTCAAACTGAGAGTGTGTCAGGGTTATAGTCTCTCTCCACACCTGTTCAATCTGTATGCTGAGCAAATTATCTGTGAAGCTGACCAGGAATGTGGTAACAGGACTGGAGGGAGACACAGCAATAACCTGCACTATGCCACAACCTTGCTGCTGAACATGAGGCCTTGAAGCACTGTCACCTCAGACAGCTCTGCATTTCCTTTGCTCACCACTCTGGGGGCCTTGATTTCAAGAGGGCGACGGCTCTTCTCAACGTGGCTAGCTTCTAGCCATTACTTGGTGAAACTTTGTCTGTGATGGTACATTGCAGACAGGATTAATATCCACAATCATTAGTAAATATAAGCAGACATGAAACTGACAGAGACATGGCAGTAAACAACACGGCTCAGATCGAGGCTCAGTATGTGAGCAAGGTCAGGGCCAATGTATGACTTGTGCTTCAACTGGACAAGGTTCAATGTGACCACAATCTGGACTCAGTGTTACCAGTTATCAGGGTTCAGTGTGGGACCAGGGTCATGGCTCAGGGTGTGACCAGGACCAGGGCTTAGTGTGTGACCTGGACCGGGGTTCAGTGTGTGACCAGGGTCAGGATTCAGTGTGTGACCAGGGTCAGGGCTCAGGGGACCAGGGTCAGGACTCAGGGTGTGACCAGGACCAGGGTTCAGTGTGTGACCAGGGTCAGGACTCAGGGTGTGACCAGGGTCAGGGCTCAGTGTGTGACCAGGACCAGGGCTCACCCTAGACCTGGACTATGAACTGAAACCAAGACAAGAGTTTAAGACGAGCAAGCACTCAACAGCCACAACGGCTCACAGACCAGCCACTGTGGGCATTTCCAAGTGCACGAGTGCTGACCTCCTGCCCTGCACCAAGGATTTCCACGACTCGCTGGGAGGCAAGCAGTGATGGATCTGCAGGACTGTGAAGAAGCATCAGTGCAAAGGCTGGCCTGCAGAGCAAATGGAACCGCTGCACCCACTGAGGAAGAGGCTGGAAGGAGCCAGCGTGCTGCAGAGGCGGCTGAGAGTCTGAGTGCTGGGCCCCTACAGGCACTAAGCCAAGAGCCACTGCACCTGCGCACGGCTCCACCGCCACACTGCACACCTGTGGGACCCGCACACCCAGGCTGCGTGCGGTTCCCCACGACCTTCTGGCCAGGAGGCTGCCCAGCTCAGGTATGTGAGCACTGAGGGCCTGGGCATGTCTTATTCCATAGCCAGCCAAAGAGAAGGCGGGAGGACGGAGGGAGGGGCCTGGGCTCTGCTCCATCTTTTCTGGAAGGTCTCCCACAGCCGCCCATGGTCCCGGCCTGAGCTTGGTCCTCTCCCTATCAAATGCTCAGGGCAGCAGGAGAGGTGAGGAGAGGAGGGCTGGGTTCCAGGCGCACTCAGGACCCCAGGAGCACACAGTGACGCACAGCCCCAGAGGCAGAGCCTCGCCCCATCGACGCGTCACAGACACTGCCACTGTGCTTTTTTGTATTATTTTATGTTCATGTACAAAAATAGTTTTTGCAAGAAAAATCAACAGGTACAAAATGGCATCCCACCCCCGCACAGTACCAAGTAATATATGCATATATATCTGTGTTTATAGCAATATAGATATAAAACTGGAGACATGGTGCCCGGCCCAAGGAATGGGGCCCCCTCGGGCCACACCCAGCAGGATGGCAGGAGCTGGCTGCTCAGAGTCCGTGAGCTCGAGAAGGAAGGGGAAACAAAGTCACAGGTCCCACGGTCATTTCCAGCTGGGCTCTGAGGGCCCTTTCTGCACCTGGCCGGGTCCCCCTTCAGCCCTCAGGATGGCTCTGCCCTCAGGTGCTCCTGGCTGTAAGAGCACCAGGTGGCCAGCCAGACACTGGGCTCTCGTCCACATGCTCTCCTCCTCCTGAGCTGGCCCTACCAAGCCCCTCACATGCACAGCACCCATCTCCCCTGGGTGCAGGCTTCCTCCCTGGTCCACTGGATCTTCGGGCTTCGGGGCGGGCCTGAGCTCCCTAGGCCTCCTCTTCCACCTTCAGGATCATCCCAGAGAAGACCTCCAGACCCGCAGGGGCACTCTGGGGGCTGGGCTGGGCGCCCTGGGTGGGCCCACGGGCCGCAGTCACAGCCGGGGCACTGTCCAAGACGGAGGGTGAGGCTCCCCGGCCAGGGCGTGCTTCCACCAGCCGCTCAAGGGTCCGGCTGAGGGCCTCGATCCCGTCCGCCAGCCGCTGGCTCTGCTCAGCCAGTCGCTGCAGGAGCACATTCTGCTGGGCCATCAGGGAGCTCTGCTGCTGACACCAGGAGGCCAGCAGGGCACCCTGCCGCCGGTGTGAGTCCAGCAGCCGCTGCTCGAACTCTGTCACCTCAGCGGCTGGCTTCCCAGGGGGCGCAGGGCCTGAGGATGGCGGGGAGGTTCGGAAAGATCCCACAAAGGCCACAGAAGCTGGGGCGGAGGCAGGGGACGCAGGTGGGGAGGGCGAGATGGTGGGTGCAGGGAAGGCTCCTCGAAGGTCCAGGGGGTCGGGCTCAGGCACATTGGGCCCATCCAGGGCACGAGGGGGTGTCCACAGGCAGCCAGGCACCTCATCCTCCTCGTCAGCTAGCGGGGAGACAGGAAATGTCAGCCTCCACCAGCCATGGGCAGGTGGCACCAGAAAGGGGTGGGCGAGCACTGAGGACCATCAAAGTGGCCCCACACAGCTGCTTAGATCTCTCAGCACCCCTCCATGGTGGGTGTGGTGCCCTGTATGAGACTAAGGACACCAGACTCAGGGGAAGAACTTACTCCAGCAGTAGGGTCAACCAGCCATCATCTCTGCATCCATGTGGCTGCTATTATCTTGTCTGCTGATCTCTCTGTATCTATCCACCCTGTTCATCTACCATCCAGCCATGCTCTGTGCACATCCACCGGCCACTTCTTCTCTCTCCATCTTCCCAGCTTCTAGTCACATGAACATCCATGCATCCGCCCAATCTCTATCCATATACCACCCCAGCTCTCATCTATCCATCCTCTGTCTATATCCTATCAATCCTCCAGCATCCTATGCACCCAGCCATCCGATTTTCGCCCATCCTCCATCCACATATCCTCAAATCACACACCTACAAATCCCCATCCACCCACCCATCCTTTATCCACATACCCATCTCTCTCCTACAACCATCTAGTATCATCCACATATCCTCAAACCACACACCTACCAATGCACCATCCACCTAGGTACCCATCTATCCACCTACCCTGCATCTAACCATGCACCCAGCCAGCCTCCACCCACCCCCCAATCATCCAGGAATGCGTCCAACCACATGCAGCCTTCATCCGCTTTTCTATCCACCTACCCATCCATCCTCCTTGCATCTACTTATGTGCCCTCAATCCAATGCTTCCCCCTTCACCCACACATCCATCCATCCTCCACCACCCACCCAACTATTCCTTTGTCTCTCCATCTTTCATCCACCCCAACCATCCATTCTCACTGCATCCATCCACTCATCTTTACCCACCCCCATCCGTCTACCTTCCATCCTTCACGCACCTACCATTCATCCAATCGAATCTCCATCCACTTGTTAATCTACTATCCCATCCACCTACCCTATCTCCCATCTATCCTCTCCCCACCTTTCATCTGTTATCAATCCAGCCACTATCCATCCAACCACGTCTTTATCTATCTATCCATATATCTATCCCCTTACCCATGTGCCCACCTATCAATACTGTGTTCTTCAATTTACCCGTTCATTCATTCCTGCCTGCTGTGTGACCTGGGGAACTCCCTTCTCCTCCAGCCTCACACTCCTAACTTACAGGTGGTTTGAGGGATCTGAGCACTTGGGATACACGTGGAGGAAAAGTCTACAAATCTCAGGCAGCGAGAGCACCCGAGAAGAGAGGCTGATGTGATGCCACCTGCCCTGACACGTGGGGAAGGGCCTCGTCACAGTGTGAGCAGAAGGAGGTGGGCACAGGGCAGCGACCGAGGGTGGTCTCCCACAGAGAGGGGACAGCTCCTGCTGCTGTGGAAGCCGCTGCCCCATCCCTGTCCCAGGGCCCTGGGCTCCCAGGCCCTGCTGCAGGTCTGTGCCTGGTGAGGTGCTCCTAGGAGGGGGGGGGGCTGCACTACCTCTTCTTCCTTCTCCACTTTCTTCTTGGTCTCCTCCTCCTGCTTGCCTGCGTGGCCTGCCCATCCTGCTGACCAGCCAACCCATGATGCTGCCCAGCTTCCTGGGGCTCTGCCTCTCAGAAGAGTTCTTGTCCAGTGAGGCTGAACCTGAGCCTCCAGTGAGACGCTTCAAGGGGGCAGCTGCCCAGCATCCAGTCCAGGGTGCCAGGAAGGACCAGGCAGAGAGCTGGCCGCTGCTGGAGGTCTGAGAAGAGGGCTAGAGTGGGTGGTACCAGGAGAGTCCACGCTGAACTTGAGACCGGTCATCCTGCAGATTAGACCTTGGGCCCATGTGCTGTCTCCTCCTGGGTCTTCACTGGGGTCCTTGATGGCTTGACTTCTAAGTCTGAGTGGCCTCTGAGAGAGGAAGCCGGGGTAGACTCCACTCTCATTCTAAAGTTTGCTCACCAAGGGCTCAGTGCTGTAGACAACGCTGCACTCCAGACCTCGTGCACCCAAAGAACCCTCCTGAGCGGTGGGGACAGAGCTCCGGCGGGGATGGGGCCACGGCAGGAATGGGGTCGGGGCTGTGGCGGGGAGAGAGCTCCAGCGGGGATGGGGCCACAGTGGGGACGGGGCCGCAGTGGGGACAGAGCTTCGGCGGGGATGGGGCCACGGTGGGGACGGGGCCGCAGTGGGGACAGAGCTTCGGCGGGGATGGGGCCACGGTGGGGATGGGGCCGCAGTGGGGACAGAGCTTCGGCGGGGACAGGTCGCAGTGGGGACAGGGCTGCAGCGGCGACAGGGTAAAGGCCGTAGCACCCACCTCTCCAACACTTCATGATAACGCATGGTTCCCACCCTCACACGCCCCCCCCAGAACCATTCCCCTTTCCCCTCCGCACACCCCGTCCTACGGCCTGCAGGTCACTGGCCGGGCCTGTGGGACGGAGCACGGATGAGCCCAGATCTCTCACACCCCACCGTCCAGGGCTGGGCCCACAGGCACCCATCTGACCAGACTAGACTGGGCTCCACTGGCCCTCCGCCTCAGCAAAGGAGCAGTGTGTGGTCATTTCATCTCCCAGGGCCAGAACTGGCAGGACCACTGAGGCCCACCATCCTGCTCCTCACACCCCAGCAAGAACTCATCCAACCAGTTCAGCAGAACTGAGCCCCGGGGAGGTTTCAACGGCTGTTTCTTCAGGCAAGTCTGCCAGGCCTTTCCCCCAAACCATCTCTGTGGACACTCAGAGCATGGATGTCGGAGCCATGTACTCAGTCCCTCAAAACCCATCTGCTAGCTTCGGGCACCCCTCCCGCACGTGGACCCAGGCTGGCGCTGCCCAGCTGCCCTCCCTAGCGTCGCCCAGGCCTGAAGGCAGCAGACAGAGGCAGGCGTGCCTTCCACAAGGAGGGCACCCCGGGCCTCTGGACGAGCAGCTCACCAACAACACAGGACACAGACTAGGGCAAGCACGTGCTCCAGGGAGCCCCAGGACCCTGGCCAAGTAGGGACTATGGCCACCACGCTCCCTGCCCGGAGCGGCCTGCTGGGACGGGGCCCATGGGCATGGCGGTAGGCAGGGCAGAGCGGTCACACCTACGCTGTGGACACCAACAAGCACTCACCAGCCCCTGCAGCCTGGCCGCGGGTCCAGGGCTGGAAGCAGCCTGGCTGCTCAGGGAAGGTCTGGGGCATGCCTTCCTGCACCAGCAGGGCTGGGCCACTGAGGAGGATGGACAGATGGCCGCGGTGTTGGGGCGGGCACTCCCGCCTCAACTTACTTGGTGCCGACTGGCTCCTGCCAGGAGCTCCCGGGCCAACTCTGCATGCGAGGAAGCGGCCTCGATGCTGGCTTCAATGCTGTCTGCAAGTCAAGACAACAAAGGCAGTTAGCACAGAGCCCTGCCCGGGAGCCCTGCTCAGGAGCCCCTGGGGGTTACAGGTGGTCCCCTGGCAGTCAGTGTGGCTCAGGGAGTGGCAGAGGTGATCATGGGTTCTGAGGGGCCTTCCTGCTACCTGGCCCTGCGTGGAGGCCAAAGCTGCCAGCACAGAGGGCTGGCGCCTTCTCAGCACCTGGCTCGGGTTGGGAGGGGGGACAGCATCTCAGGAAGGGTGAATGTCGCTGAGTCCAGCTCTATCATCACTGTATCTTCAGAGAGCTTCTGCCCCTAGGGCTCTCTCCCTGACAGGCCTGCTGTACCCGGCCAGCCCTCCATGCCCAGGGGCCCTCTGCCCCCCAACAGACATGCTGTAACTGAGACCTTCTCCCCAAAGTCCTCTGCCCCCCAACAGGCTTGCTGCACCCCAGCCAGCCCTCCATGCTTAGAGGCCCTCTGCCCCTCAACAGGTCCCAGTAGGACCTGTGTCCCTGAGGTCCTCTGTACTCCAGAGGCCTTCTCCCCAAAGTCCTCTGCCCCTAACATGCCTGCTATATCCCAGCAGGCCCTCCACCACCCTGGGGCTCTCCGGCCTGCAACAGGTCTGCTATCTAGAGGGCCCTCTGCTCCCCACACAGGCCTGCCACACCCCAGCCAGCCCTCCATACGCCGGGGCTCTCTGCTCTCATCAGCCCTCCAGCCCAAGAGCCTGTGAAGGCGAGAAGCCCGTCCTGTAGGGCTTCTCTAGGGGCAGACACGGTCTGGTGGCCCTGGGGTCAACATGTGCTCAACCAGCGGGTGGATCCAGGACTGAACAGTACAGCAGACACCACGTGAGGTGCTGCCCTAAGACCGTGGGTGAGTGACCAGGAGTCAAGACTTCAAATGCTGTGCCACCTACCCTTACGCACTACACCCAGCTGGCATATCTTGGGCACCCCAGGCTGAGTGGGAAGCCAGGATACCACACACACAGGCCGGAGCAAAGAGAGGAGGTGTCAAAGAACACAAGCCAGTCTGCCTGGTTCACCACGCATGCTGCCCACACGTGCCGCAGGGAATGGAGACAGGCACAGGACGTCCACAGGGCTCGCGCCAGGCAGCCCTCTACAAACGCTTCCCCTCTACCAAACAGGATGAAGCGGGCACCCACCCAGGAGGGTCCTGACAAAGACCAGCACAGCTACACATGGACATTGTCCACTTGCTGGGTCCGAGGGCTCCACGGCACAACCACTATCACCTGATGCAGCCACTCAACCCGGGCGCTGAGCTGCGAGCAAGGTCCTTGTGCTGCTGGAGGCTGGGGCCCAGGACAAAGACGCTCTCATGTGGGCACAATGCCGCTAGACTCCTCTTCCCCCGGCCGAGAGCTGCTCCTGGGGCAGGGGGAGGCAGAGCTGTCCTCTGGGAACCCCTAAGCAGGAAGGCCCATGGCCTCCCTTTGAGAAGTCTCATAAAGCCATCATCAGGGCCTCCCTGGCCCTTTCACCAGGGTTCAGGGACCTTCGGGCCCAGCCCAACTCCTCCAGTACCCAGAGCCCTCCTGCATCCACGGGGTCATCCACGTGGGAGTACTCTCCAGAGAGCCTGAGTTGAGGGGTGGGGTGCAGACAGGGTCTGCCATTTTGGAGAGGTCGGGAGACCGGGGGCTTGGGGTGTCCATTTTCCTGGACTGGGACCATCCTCCTCTGGCACCAGCATGTTCCTCTGGCCTGGAGAGGGCAATGGGACAAGTCTAACAGGTGTCAGCCCTTCACCTGTACAGAGCATGCGGCACACCCCAGGGCAGGCAGGCTCTGCGGTCAGGACACCTGCTCTCTGGGGTCAGATGGCCCCGTGAGCGATCGGCTCACAGCCTAAGTCACTCCCATCCAGGCAGGTCCTCTGACTCCGCCCACTCCCTGAGCTGCTCCTCCTCAGGCCCACCCAGGGCACCAGTCAACCTCTCCGGCCACCAGGCTCGTCCTGTGCTCAGCCCTTTCAGAACCCTGGGCTCACCCCACTACAGCCACCCGCACAGGACAGCTGAGGGTCCTCAGCCGCAAGTTCTGCTGGGCCCCTCGGGCCTGAGGTGGCCAGTGGCCGGCTTGTGTCCACACAACTGAGTGCTGCTGTCCCAGATCTGTGTAGGAGACCACGCTGGGTCTCAGGAGGGTCCAGAGGGGGCCCAGTCCTGCTCCCCAGAGTCCGTCAGCAGCTTCGGAGTGAGCAGGGGGCTCCACCTTGAGGATGTGGCTCGTGGCCAGTGCAGGCTTGGAGGCAGCGACGAGGCACAGTGGTGGGGAGGTGGGGTGGCAGTGGAGGCTGAGTGCTGGAGGTCGAGGCTGGAGGTCGAGGGTGGAGGCCGACAGGTGGAGAAGGAAGAAGAGGTGGCAAAGACCTGGCTGAGCCCCGTGTTCCTCACCAGGCACAGAAACTTCTGGAGGATTGGGACCCTATGGCCCAGAAGGGTAGGGGCACACTGGTGACTGCAGGTCCACAGGGACCTGAAAAGGCTGATGTCAGGGCAGGAGGGGGACCCCTGCCCCACATCCACAGCAGAGGCCTGGGGGGGAGGCAGGGTTCAGCACTGCCCCAGAAGCCGGGACTCTCTGGGCACTGCCTACTGCTGGCCCTCGTCTCCATGCTGGACGCAGAGCTGTCTTCCTGGGGTTCTAGCTTGCACCTCTGCAGTCGGCCATGTGGGCCTGATGGGGGAACCCCAGGTTCAGACAGGGGGGCTGCCCCACAGATAGGTGGGCCCAGGAGAAACATCACCAAGGCTGCGGCTGCCCAAGGCCTGGCCCGGGAGCTCCAGCCGAGGTGAGGACCCTGAGTTGGAGCATCTGGACAGCCACCCCTCCCCGGTCCTGAGCCGCAGTTTCCTCAAGAATGGGGCAGGAAAGGAGAGTTGGGGCCAGCTCTATGGTCCCCACTTACTTGGCAGGGGCTCAGGGCCCTGGCCCTCGCCCGGGGGCGCTGGAGCTGAGAAGGTCTCCGCCACCATGCGCTCCACGGGTGTGAGGACCAGGGCAGGGGTGGGGCCCGCCCCTGGCGGGCTGTGGGGCCGCTCAGCCAGCTTCTTGCGCACCACGCCACGCAGGTCCCTCCACTTGTGCTTGAGGTCGCCCAGGTCCCGGCGGCAGTAGCCCAGCGCATTGACCGCCTGCAGGATGCGGCTCCACACACGGTGCTTGCGGGCAGGTGGACCCCGCAGCGCCCCAAACAGCAGCGGGTAGTGGCGCGTCACCTTCCGCACCAGCACCTCGGTCTCCTGCGGGCTGAAGTTGGGCTTGCGTGTCTTGGTGCGGGAGTGGACACCCGGCCTCAGGGGTGTGGAGCCTGGCCCGTCACCAGGTAGCAGGGTCCCCATGGCCGGCTCAGGGCTGCAGCTCTGCCGGCAGGTGGCCTTGCCTCCACTGCTGGACCCTGGAAAGGCACCAGAGGCTTGGCAGAGGGTCGGGCAACAGGGTAGGGAGGGCCATGGACTGGGCAGTAGGGCAGGGAAGGCTGAGGGCCGGGCACCAGGATAGGGAAGGCTACACCTGGGCAGGGAGGGCTGGGGGCTGGACACCTGGGCAGGGAGGGCTGGGGGCTGGACTCCTGGGCAGGGAGGGCTGAGAGCCAGGTGCAAGGATAGGGAGGGCCAGGGGCCGGACACATGGGCAGGGAGGGGTGGTCCCATTCCACCTTGGTGGACACCACGGAAACACTGACTGCCTGACATCAGAGTTTGGGGTGGTATGCAGTGGGATCCCTGTCTCTGCCACCCCCATGCAGTGCTGGCCCTTGGCCCCATCAGCCTCACTGGCGCCTTGGCTCGTGACCAAGAGCCCCACGTCCATGATCACTGCCCTCCAGCCACCTAGGGTGGGGGGAGCAAGCACACCTGCCTCACAAGGACAGAGCCCAACCAGTCAGCACCTGGACCTTCAGGAATGTCCAGGCCACTGTGCTGCCCACCTCACTGCCCACTTCGCTGCCCACCAGCCAGGAGGGAGACATAAAGATACAGCCAGGACCGAGGGAGGATGTGCTGTGGGGTGACGGGGTACCCGAGCAACAAGCTGTTGGTCACAGGAAGCTCTGAGGAAGCACCCCAGAAAGCTGGGGGAGCCCACACCCTTCATCCAACATGGATGACTGTCCTCAGAGCTCTGGGACACCAGGTCCTCAGAGCCTTGGCCCTGACACTCAGGGCTGTTCATGGCCAGTGATGCTACCAGCCAAGAGCAGACACAAAGAGGCTGGGGGAGGCTGTGGTGGTGGAGCCTCGTGGCTCCCAGCTGGAAGCTGGGGCATTTCAGACCAGGGCAAGTCTTCCTCACTGAATAGAGGGTGGGTCACGGGCTGAAAACAGTTCCCTGCCTACATAGGACACGGCTCTTTGCCCTATGGAAGAAGCAGCAGTGTTGGACCACTGAGCAGAGTCTACTGCACTCCCTGAGCCTGGGGAGGGACCCCGTGAGGGCCCCATGGTCCACCCCTACATCTGTCCAGCCCAGACACTTTGTCTACCCTGTGTCACTTCACCTTCCCATTTCCAGGACAGCTGGGGCTCAACTGGCAGCCACACAGACGTGGAGGGTGTTTTTCTGCCTCCTGTGCTGAGGGACGGGGCTCAGGGAGCTTCAGCTGAGGTGCAGCACAGGGACCTCGACGGTGACCGCCACCAGTGACTGCACAGCATCCCAGCAGGAAGAGCCAAGTCCCCCAATTCACTCAGCAGATGGCCACGGATGAGCCAGGGCAGAGGCTAGAGGATGGCAGGCCTGGGCACGGTGCCCCAGCCCTCTGAGCTGCGTCCTCCTCCAGAGAGGTCAGTACCCCTCACTAACACTCCCCTCCTTATCTCAGCTGCTCCCCACCATGATGCCCCTAGGGACGAGCAGGGGGGCTCAAGGACAGGACTGCCACTTCCACACCGCCCCCAGCCATGTACTCAGGACCTCTCCTGGTACCTTGGTCCTAACACCAGGACCCTCAGGTTGGAGTGAGGGAACAGGCCAACAGTCACCTCTGTGGCCCCATTACAGATCAGTTCCTTCAGAGAGGAAAGTGGGGCTGTAGGGAGGGTGCCTGAGGTCTCCCAGGGCAGGCCTGTGTGAGGAGCTGTCTTAGGGGTGATCTCCCAGAACCCTACTCTGGCCAGGCCTGGGAGCTCCCTGGAGGGAAAGGCTCTGACAGGGGTGCAGCAGACCCTCGGTGACTGGGGGGGGGGCACCTACCCATGGCTTCTCCTTGCTCCGACACCATGGAGGCCAAGTCCTTGATGATCTGCTTCACATCAAGCAAGTCACTCTAAAACAAAGATGGTGGCTGTCAGGCCCATGGGCGGCGGCCATGGCCTCATAGTCCTGTAGGACCGGGGAAGCTAAGAGAACCGAGAGGAGCCTCCTCACCTCCATCCCCTACCCTGCTGGGAGGGAACAGAACTTCTGACCTTTCCCTTTCTGTATAACCAGCTGGTACACAAGTGCTGCTCAGGAAATCCTGAAGGAGGAAGGCGCGTGGCTGACGAGGGCAGGGGAGCAGATGGACAGTGGACAGCCAGATGCATGTGCTGATATATGGTGGATGGTAACTGGTTGTACAGACGGTTAGATGGGTTGGCAGGAAGATGGACAGATGAATATTTAAACGGACAGGGGAATGGGTGGTGGCTAGATGGATGGATGGAGGCTGAGCGGGTGGGTGGACTGAGTGGATGGGTAATGGGTGGCTGAACGGAGTGGACGCGTAGGTGGACAGCTGTTTGGCTGAATGAGTAGGTAAGTGGGTGGTTAGATAAGTAGGTGAATGAGTGGTTGGATGGGGTGGTGGATGGCTGGTACATGGGTAGGCAGGTGGGTGATTGGCTGTATAAGAGGTGGATGGGCAAGTAGACGGTTGGCTGTGTGGTAAGTGGATGGATAGGTGGTGGGTGGTTGGATGAATAGGCAGGTGGGTAGTTAGATGAATGGGGAGGTGGGTAGTTAGGTGAATGGGGAGGTGGGT